ACATTTATGAGAGCGTTTCAACTAACCTACGGAATGACTTCCTGTGTGCCAGACCGCTCCTCTGTACATTTAAAGATCAGATCATTAACGGATATATTTGTTATTGCATGGTGTTTTTTTAATACTCTATGCATTTCCAAATCAAACTGATATTGCCACAGATAAAGCTTGCATTATTGATTTGTCTCTGCTTTATCCTCTACCAAATCAATGCAGTAGCCGAGTACAGCCAGTAAAAGGGTCTGAATGTAATCATGTGTCTTAACTTGGTTTATTAGCAGTCTTCCTCTGAATCTAATTAGGGATGCATGATGCTTGCAAACTTAGTTAAGGCTTGCTGCCTTCAGTATGCCCTACTGAAATATTGAAGTTGTCGTACCAGTGCCTTTGTTAAAGGAAACTTATGCAGAGAGAATATTTCAAATTAACTCAACTGACCAATAAACTAAACATGCAACCTGTGCCAATGTGCTTTGTGCGCAAACATTGGAGATTAAAAAAATCTGCATTTGTCTTTTGAATTGGCTTAAAAAAAAAAGTTAAAACAGGATTTCCTGGTCAAATTGGCAATTAAATACTTTTCTTAATATCTATTAAAAGCTAGCTTTGATATCAGAAATTAACAAGAAACTCATTAATTATTATATACTGTAAGACCAGTAACCAGTGAGTAAAGGATCATTCATTTTAGTATAGCAATAAGAACAAAAGTCTAGTCAATGCATGCTGACATTTATGGTGTTACAGAACTTAAAACTTAAGACTTATCGTCTTACAGAACTTAAAACAGAACTCAAAAGAACATGACTTCTGACTTCAGTTAGATAGCTGCTCACGGTGATGAGTTTTTCATCATTTATCATATATACGGTCCAATATTGAATCTTAATCCATGAAACAAAACTCCTTCACATTAAAAAGTAGTGACTCACTACACTTCCTTTCACACAGAATATACTCAATCAGGGAAGTAATTGTCAAATTGATTGATAATGAAATGATCATAAATCACATCCACAGATACCTCTCTGTTTGCTTATTTCATGTTTTAGGACTGAGTTCAAGGCATATAAGGATGTGAAACCAGTGAAGGCCATTAAAGCTCCATCTCAGTATAAACCCCCAGTGGAGGAGAGCTGCCGTGAGACCAGCTACAGCGCCACATACAAGGGGGAGCAGGTGAAGGCTCAGCCCGCCGACAACAAGCTGATCGACCGCAGGAGGATACGCAGCCTGTACAATGAGCCGGGCAAGGAGACTAGCAAGGTGAGAGCGTGCGCCAAACACTGATGTGAGGACTGTGTGACACTGGTAACACTATTTACTATTATTCAATTAAGTACTTGGATTTAAGTCATGTCTTAAACTGTATTAGCCCTGCAATTACCTAGGTCTAGTACTTTGCCATAAACACTGTCAGTTTTTATTGTTTTTCACATAAATTCTTTATCACTAGAAGCGTTTGATGTGTACATGATATTCTTCATACTGTGGCTTGGCATTGTGATTGATTAAATGCGAACACATTAAACAGCTTCAAATCTAAATTTGTATTCATTTTAAATTGCAAAATTAGCCCTTATTTTATTCCATCATGCATATAAATCAGACAGTGAAATGTTTAAATAGCCACACTGTGTCAACTAAAAAGACAAATTTACTTATACCAATAACAAATATATTTATTGCATCCCATTTTTGGATTATAGTGACATCATCTCATAATAAGGTATGCCTTTTATTCCAAGTTATTTCTCACATAGATTGGTATCCGTGTGCATGATTGACAGTTCAGACAACAAGTGGTCAACATTGTGTCTGTAGTGTGTTCATATGGCCACTCCCTCTCTCATTCTTGTAGGACGTCTCAGAGACTGAGAGCAGCTCTGTTCTAAATCTGCGGTAGTCAGGTGTGTTGTCTGTTTCTTCAAAAGGCATGGAGGCTGACCTCAAGTTGATCAGACGCAAAAACTTACTGCATACTGTAAACACACACACACACACACACACACACACACACACACACACACACACACACACACACACACACACACACACACACACACACACACACACACTGTCTGCGCCTTGGCTAGTACGAGCCGCAGTCACGTTCCACCCTGCTGCCGGATGCAATCCTGCAAAAAGTCAGCCACATCTTCACTGTTTACCCACCTCAGCTTGCATCACCGACCACCATTTATGGAGCAAAAGGGTCGATTAATTCATAAATAAAAGAAACAAGTAAACTTAGATTATACTTGAGAGTAACAGATTAGGGTCAAAACAAAAAAGATGGGTTCAATACATTATAGAGGGCAACAAGACATTTCATAAGTGTACATATAAAAAGTTCTTCACTGTTTATGGCTCTGTGTTGGAGACAATGTATAGGTACAATTACATTTGGAAAGTATACTTTTTGTTTGTTTGTAAAATATCACACAAAATGTACCACTTAAAGAAAGGCACAGCAGTGTGTTTGTGCCAATTGCAGTTGTTAGCGGATGATGTTATCCTTTTTTAGCTTTTCATTTCAGTTTGGTGTAGTAGCAGTTTGAAATTCAGTATTATGCAGCCATGAATTTCATTCTTCAATCTCCACATACAAGAGTAAAAGTAAATGTGTTGATTATAATCTGGACTGTATCGTGAATGGTGCATAATATGTTTACTTTTTTTTTGTCCAAATAGCACCATGGTCCCTATTATTCTTAGGATTAGAGCATTTCACTTTTATTCTCAGTTACAGCCTTTACCAACAGTTGTCATTGCTTACAAGAAATACTTTTTTAAGGTTTATTTACTCAGCAAAATGTGAGTATATTGGAGCTAATCAGGAAATATTAAACTCAACAAGAGCAGGGAGAGGCTGAGTGCCTTGCTTAATTTTCCAAGTAGGTGTAAGAGTTTGAACCAGCAATCCTCCAGTCGCTTCTTAATCCTCCACTACTACTGTTAATAGTTGAATGTTATCAAAACATTACATTTCTTTTACTATGACTAACATCATAATTTACTAATATAAACCACTAACTCTTTAGGTTATGGTTTCTTCTTCTTTTCTATTTCAATAGAGAGGCGAAATCACGCCTGTCTACTTCCGGTCCATTGGACTTTATTTTGGAAAAATTATGTATTGAAGTCAATGGAGAGAGAAAATGTATCTTTCGATCCCGTTTGAATGGTGCCATGAATTACACATATGATGTTTGTCAATCTTAAAAAATCATTTCCATGTCAAAAAAGTCACAGTTTGTCTTAAAACTGTTGAAATATAAGACTATGAAAAATACGCAACTAGAAAGACTACAAATCCCAGAATCCCGGTCCCGCATGCTGGCTCTTACGAACCGACTAACTCCCCTTCTGTGTATGTACAGCTCTCAACATGCCCAGACTTGTAATGATTTTCACCTCTTTTAATACTTTCCGCCTCATTCTGAAAGAAAGAAGTGAAATGTGCTAACGTGACGGCCGTCTTGGTGTGTGGTGTGGGACGGGAGATGTGTTCATTGAGCGGTTCCACACAAAAAAAGTGTTACTTCACAGTTTTACGACACATTTTTATTTTTTTGAGTTGCAAAATTATCTTTTAAATTGACAAACATCATATGTGTAATTCGTGGCACAATTCAAACGGGATCGAAAGATAATCTTTCTCTCTCCATTGACTTCAATACATACTTTTTCCGAAATAAAGTCCCATGGAGCTCCCCCGGAAAGGGAGGGACTTCGCCTCTCTATAGAAAAACTGCACAAACCACTGTTCTATAAAAACAAAGGCACAAATACCTCTTGTGCTGTTTATTTTTTATTTTATCTCCATTGCACTAATCCACATAATGCAAATATCACCTATACCGTATGGTGTCATTTGCCTGTCCTCATTTAAGTAACAGGGTAACAAAGGTACCTTTTGCATGCCAAAATAGCACTTTGACATTATTTAGAGTCTTAAAGGGTTAGTTTAACATTTTGGGAAATGCGCTCATTTGCTTTCCTGCCAAGACTTGAATGAGATGATCAATACTAGGCTCTCGTACCAGTCTGGCTGTCATGGAAATTCTCCAGGAAGTGACAGCACCAAGCCAAGAAGGTGCAGTTGAGTCTTTATGCTAGGCTAAGCTAATCAGCTGCATATTTAATGGGAAGACATGAAGGTGGTATCAATTGTCTTAACTTACTCTCGGCAAGAGAGCAAATAACTGCATTTCCCAAATTATCAAACTATGGCTTCCCGACAAGGTTTATGTTTAATTAACAATTTTTTTTGTCCATCTGAATATTTTCACCCCTCTTCTCTTTCAGGTGGATAAAGCAGTGTCTCGCATCAAACCAAAAAAGACACCAACAACAACAGGGAAGACGGTGAAAAAATCAAAAGAGAAGGTGCTTGCTAGTTCCCTGTCAGCCAAGAAGAAACCGTCTTTGGGCACCCCAGAACCCAAACCAGATGGAGTCGTCACCAAGAAGAGCAAAGAGATCAGCAATAGACTGGCTGAAGCAAACCACTAAATTAAGTTTCTCTCTACACTTTTATGTGTGTGATCAAAGGCGACATGACGAATTAGGCACATTTCTTCCTTTTGGTTTATTTCCTGACCTGTTGTTTTTGCTGTCCTTTCATATATTAGTCACCTTTAAATGGGCACTGATGTTGAGCTTTCAAAATAATGCAAGTCATTTCACTGTAAAATGTGAGTAAGTGTGTGTGTGTGTGACAGAGAGAGAGAGAGAGAGAGTGTGTGTGTGTGTGTGTGTGTGTGTGTGTGTGTGTGTGTGTGTGTGTGTGTGTGTGTGTGTGTGTGTGTTCAGATGTATGTAAGTATGTGATCCCTTGTGTTTTGGTGCACAAAACCGCTTTATATTATTGAGCACATTATTTGCACTTTGTTTATATGAGTTCTGTTTGACATCGAACCATAAAAAAAAGCCATCAGTACACATATACCTTTGTCTTAATGAATAAAAACTAAAATCAGTTTTCAAATGATTGTAGAAAAAGTCAGGGGGATGGTTTTTCTCTCAGACTTTATCACATAAGAGGTGTTGTGACAGTACAACATATGTTTTAGGGTTGCTTTTCCTAGTTACAGTGCCTCCGCTGTATGGTCCTGGTTTTCATTTCATTGTTTGGGATGATATCTGGTCTTATCAGTTTGGTTGCCAAGAAACCAAATGAAGTGTAATATAATTGCTACGGCTTGCATGCAGGACACTGTGTTTGGTTGAGTGGCTACATTTCAGCAGACTATATGTCACACAGTCACATTTTTGCTTGTAAATTGAGCAACTAAAGATACATTTCTAGGGGAAAGAACTTTTCAAGTATAATGCATGCGTAGTAATAGATTTTGGTCACACCGAAACTAAAGTACATTCACAAAATCATAGTCTAGTGGCTAATAAAGCTATTACCTAAACGCACCAGCAATATGGTTGTACACAATTCTGGCAATCTTAATGGAGATCCACTCCTTTGATTGAATGGGAATACTGCAGTACTTATGACTCAGTATTTGTGACATTGTATTCCGTCCTCTCCTCTCATCTGTGATGCTGTAATTGTGCTAAATGAGAAAAATGTATGCATAAAGGCCTGAAAAGGGAAAAACTATTGTATTTACTCAATAAATGTCACTCTGAATGGGCTGATCTCACCAGGTGGGAAAGAACAAGGAATGGGCCAGGACTTGAAGTTCAGCTTTTTAAAATGTTGCTATCTGATAATACGCAAATCCCACCTGTTCATTGTGAACATGACATGAGGGGTTTCTACTTACCTGTGGCGGCAAACATGGCTGCAGTGTGTGAGAGCCCAGTCAAGCACTACCCACCGTGAGTCTGCTTCAAGTTTAAGCTTCCGTGTGTGAGCCTGAGAGTTTTGATGTGTATGACCTTACAGCCTGCTGCAGTTAGCAACATGTCTGACCTAACCATAAGACCTGCTGCTACACACTCCAACACCCTGGTGCTAAATCGCTCATTCTATATGCTGTCTGGTTTGGGCCACACGTGGCATCAAACTAGAGGGAAATTATGAAATAACAACGTTATACCGCTGCAGACGTGAAACTGTGCTTGTTCTCTCAGCTTGCTCTGGTTGAATTCTGAATAAAGTGATGATACTAACAGCTTGTGTTCTGACTTATTCTACCCCATAGGCATTAGTGTTTTTTATATATATTTTGTAGATTAAAGAACAATATACATTCACACCCATAATCTAAATAAAAATGATTTTTAAGTTGTGTAAATTTGGTAAAATAACAAAACATTTAAATGAAGGATCAAGCAAACAAAAGCATCTTACTCCTGGTGTATAAAATGACAGGGGGGCTTCTAAATCTGGCAGAGCTGTTGTTAGTTATTCCCTTCTAGTTCAAGCAAACCCCCACATCTTATTTGCATTTGGTGAAACTGGTTGTGGATGCTACAGTAATGATTAGTTATTTAAGTTTTCAAATTAAAAAGGTAACCATTTAATTTATAGCATGTATAATATCATTATACATGGGGCTACAAAGCAGCAACATCGACCTAACCTAGTTTTTCAAAAAGACCTTGGAAAACCTTTCTTTTCAGCCATGTATTTTATTCTCACAGCCCTCCAAAAGCCAAATCAAGCACTCTCTCTTTTTTCTTTCGATGTGGGAATTGCAAACATTTTCCCATATGAAGAAACAAAGATTCAAAGTCCAAGTGAAAATATTATTTGATCGTTTTTCAGTTCATGCACTAGCTCATGGCTGCTGCTGCTGCTGCTGCTGCTGGTCATTTCCCTGTGAATCAGTCATCCTGACATGAAACTGCATGAATAATTCAGTTGTTATGGGCCCTTATGTTCGCAGAACAGCATAAAATATTGAATAACAGCTCAGTAATGGCACTGGGTCTGCCTAAGCTCCATCCCTTCTATAAAAGACTTGTCTGGCTGGATACAGCTCTACCTATGGTTATTTTATTGTGTTAAAAAAGGTTCAATAGAGAATTGATATACTTGATATTAAATATTCTACATGATTTAGTGGTGTAACATTTTTTATGTGGAAAAAATAACTTGCAGTTTCAAAAAGGGAACAAAAGAACCCTAAATAATCATAAAATGTAAACTAAACAACAGCGCTGTAGGGGTTTATGAGTCTGCACCAAACCATTCTTTGGCAAGCACCCTTGAGAAAATATTGTATTTCTTGACACACAACACATTGCATATTGTGGTGCTGATGATCAGCAAATGATGACCTCTAGTGGATAGGATCTCTTACACAATCTCAAAGCATCATGTAAACTGGATACAAAGTAAGGTTTCCGCATGCCAAGCAAAGTAGATTAGATTTCCATCTTTGCAAAATCAAGTTATTGAAGGTGTCCCCTTGCTTGATGGTGTGATTATCTCTCTACTTCCCTGGCTCGGATCTCCATTGTTAACATGTACATCCAAATAGCTACCAGGAAAATAAACCTATTATCACAACATGGCAAGTGTGGGAGTGCATCATACTGCAGTAACCATGGTCATGGTTGCTATGTCAGGAATACAAACTCTGATGGCAATCTGATCAACTATACATGATGTGCAGCAAGGATATGTTGAAATGAAAGACGTAATATTAATAACAACGTGAGTAATTGGTGGGAAGGAGGTTTTTTAATTATTGTATTAAGTAGAGTTTTAGATTAAATCCAGTAGTGGGCGGCAAAGCAATATTTGGGATGCTAGCCGCCATTTTTACCAGCGAAGAAGAAGGATGATAGTGACCGGAAATAAACAAAGCCAGACAAGCTGAGAGGAGGGAAGAGGCTCAGCTGCTGCAGCCAGGGACATTCATACTCGTAAGAGAACCATTTATTTAACGTCGTGTATAACAACAGAAACATAAGTATGTGTTTACAAATCGACCATTAAGATGTCAAACTGTAAACTATATACGTTTGCTGTTTTTAGGAAAAGTCCGACAGAGTGCAAACCAGTGACAGGTTCAGCGTTAGCTAGACAACATGCTAACTCTTAGCTAGATTAACACAACAGACTACTATACATAATCAGCATTTGAAAAACCACTATTTTCTAAATGAGGATAAAAAGCCACTCCAAACCGATTTTAGTGAGTGCAGCTTTCAGTCAGAAAAGAGAATCAGTTATCAGCTAACTTTAGGTTATGTCTGTTTAACCGGTGTATACATTTCAACATCTTGCTATTATCATATGCTAACTAACCAATTCTGATTCTCATTCGGGATTGTTAGCAGCAGCTGAGCTCACATTAATCACTATAATGATGACAACTAAGAGACTAGACAATTTTGAGGTGATGTGTGAGTGGGATTCATGCGACTTCAGGGGCTGCACCGTGGAGGAGCTCAGCGATCATATGGCTCTGCATTTAAAGGACTACCTGGGAGACAACGACGCCTTAGAGGAGCTTGGTGAGTAACTGAGGATCATACAAGACAAACTAAAGGATCATGCTATGTCACTTGCAAGGCTGGAAATAAATATGACCTTTCAGTCATTCTAACCTTTATGTAGTTAGGACAACTCATTCTAAATCATCTGTAACAATGTTCACACCAGGTCAGTGTTGTTAGTCTTACTATAGGCTAATGTATTGCTTATGTATGGTGCTAACTACAGGAAAAGGTTATCTTTTGTAACTTAAAATGCATTAACGACATGTGTACACACTTATTTACAGTGTCTCTGGGTTACAATGTAGTACAAAAACACTGTCCTTTTTTGCAAACAACTAGTCTGAAGAAATATACTAGTCATAAAGGTTTATGTCTGTAAATGTTTAGGTGATTGCCCAGATCTACTCAATCAAATCTCAGCGAGCTCCCTGTACACAAAAACAGTCATTTCTAAACTAAAGTTGTAACTCCTTCCCTTTCTTTGTTTAGACGAGTATGCTTGTCTCTGGAAAGGGTGTCAATTTCTAGCCATGGGCTGCCCTGCGGAGCTGGAGGTCCACGCTCACTTCCACAACTATCACGGTAAGCTGAAGTTCGTCGGGGCGAGGCTTCTCAAGTCCCGCCCCGACCTACCCAGCTGCAACGAAGGTCTGCACAGCAGCAACCTGGTTCCCGAAGGGTCGGATGGATACGTCTGCCAATGGGAACACTGTGATGTAGGTTTTTCCTTTTTAATTAGAATGATCCATTGGTTATCAAATGATTGATAGCACCAATATTAATTAAGTTATATTCTTCTTTTACACAGAGTACATTTAACAATCCTGAGTGGTTTTACCGACACGTGGACAATCACGTTGAAAGTGCTGAGCCACAGTCCCTCCCTCATCAGCAGCAGACTTTCTTATGCCCCTGGACAGGTATAACAAAGTCATAACAGATCAATGAGATGTTCCTATTATAACTTCAGCCCAATTCAAAAGCATCCCCTACACACTCCTTCTCTGTGACTGAGTGAACTCCATCTGTAGTCATACTCACAGCTGAATGAGGCTCCTTGTATTCAGGTGGAGGGTGTACAGTAGATACAGCAGTAAGCTTTGGAACATCTCCCCTCTCTCCTGGCAAAAAGAAAACGGAACTTTTGCAACAATGATTGAGAATCAGCTTCTCTCGGGCTAAAAAATTATACGTTATAATAGGGCTGCTCAATTAATCTTATTTTAAACGCAATTACGATTTTGGCTTGCAACGATTATGAAAACAACATAATCAAAATAAAACGATTATTTATTTTATTTTATTTATTTTTATTTTTAATTGTTTATTTTTATTGGTTTTTCAGTTGAATTATACTTAAAGTTCAGGGTAATCAACTGTTAAAAACATACTGTTCACATTTTTTTTCCCAATAAATTTATGTTTTCAAAGTAAATGGATAATCGTTTTTAATAATTGTGATATCAATTATTGACCCGAATAATCGAGATTATGATTTTTGCCATAATCGAGCAGCCCTTAGTTATAATTATAATAAACCATCAAAAATCTTTAAAGGCGTTCCTTTTTTTGCTAAATCAGATGTTTATGAGCCTTTTTTTGTTGTTGCAACAGTACCTGTAAATACCAAAAAACTTGACAATCAAATGCACACACCTTCTGTGTACCAGATGAAGTATACAAAAATACAAGGTCATCTTAAAGTTGTTAACATCTGTATGACAATGGAACTATGCACACAATGGGTTTTATGTCTGACACAAACAGTGTTGCACTTGGTCAGGTATTGCCGGTTATTAAGTCAGGACCCATGCAGACTCGCTCTTTGAGGGTTTTATAACGGTGCGAACGGTGTTGAAATGGGTAGGGGGAGAATGTTGGAGTTGGATTGGAATTGAGCCTTTAAGTTTGACCTTATCTGAACCTCATATTTCTTTTACAGGCTGCGATGCTTCCTTCAAAATCCGATACCGTCTGAGGGAGCACATGCGGAGCCACACTCAGGAGAGATTGGTGGCTTGCCCGACGTGTGGCAACATGTTCTCCAGCAACACTAAGTTGTTCGACCACCTGCACAGGCAGGCCGAGCCAATAGGTGAAGGACTCTTCATTATTTCCACGATGCAGATAGATCTGATAGTATTGCCTGTATACTGAATTGTGTTCCTTTACCTCTAATTTGAGCAGATTCACTGGTGTGTGAACATTGTGGCAAAGCTTTTTCCAACGAGAGGCTGTTGAGGGATCATGTTCGTCAGCATGGTAAGCACTTTCTAAAATCTATTCTACAACTTTGTTACCTTGTGTGTATGAAAAGAGGATTTAGTGTGATGTTGAGTTAGGCGTGGATACAGTCAGGTTCATTTAGATAGAAGATAGAATTGGAGGGATGAAAGCCTCTTTAATGGTCACACATACATGCACACAGCACACAGTGACATTTCGCCTCTGCATTTAACCCATCCTAACTACTAGGAGCAGTGGGCAGCTATTTTACTGCGCCCGGGGAGCAATGGGAGTGGGGGGGATGTCCGGTGCCTTGCTCAAGGGCACCACGGCAGGGCAGGAGGTGAACTGGGACCTCATTTCATTTAATTTCAAACCTTTATTTATAAAGATGAATCCCATTGAGATCATTGATCTCTTTTTCAAGGGAGACCTGCTCAAATAGCAGTCCACACTCCATATTTAGGTCTGGTCGGGGACTTGAACCGGCGACCCTACGGCTCACAGTCCAAGCCCCTACTGACTGAGCCACTGCCGGACAGTGAAGGGCTAATGAAAATAATAATGTTGCTAGAGTTAACAATGTCCAAGCCATAGACACAGACATATTTGGCAAGTATTATATCTAATAGTTGCTCTCTTTTACTCTAGTGAACCAGGTGAAGTGTCCCTTCTGTGACATGACCTGCACCACTTTGGCAGCTCTGAAGATCCACATCAGATTTCGCCACTGTGACGAGCGGCCCTTCCCGTGCGACTTCTGCGACAAGAGGTAGATCTTTGGACAGCTGATTGGATGTCCAGCTGACAAATGTTGTTTACAGCCACCCCAGAATTGTGTCTTCACATATGTTTAGCATTAAAAGCAATATCAAGCTTCAATAAAATACCTTTTAAAATGCTTTATCACTCAGGGTTATCCTTCAGAACCTGTTAGTCAGTTTATTTGTAAAAATAAATGTCATCAAATTATTCAAACGTTTATTTCACATTTCTTTCTGCAACTGAGAAGTTAAAAAAAGAGGGGGACAACACTTTACATTTCTTAACATACTGTTGGGCTATTTGTCCTAGCATGGATCCTTTTACTTGCATTTGTAACCAAATAGCCCTTAATACCTACTCTGTACAGACCTGAAACATGAAAAAAACACAGAATATCCTTATCCACGTTAGCTTTTTATTCGATTACCAAACGATGGAAAAAACACTTTAGTAACAAATGTATTCAACATTTTGGAGTGATTGTCCTATTAATGCAATTCCTCTGGTATATTTCTTTGTCATCTGAGTTGCAGAATGTGAACATATTCTTTGAGTATGTTATGTTTAAAGAGTACCTTTATTCTTTCCTTTTCAGATTTAAGAACCAGCGCGACCTGCAGAAGCACACCGAGGTTCACAATGAGGGCACCGTGTATCACTGTACAGTGGAGGGCTGTGATTATTCCTGTCACACATTTCCAACCATGAGCTACCACTACAAGAGAGCGCACCAGGTTTGTTAGTGTAAAACCTATTTTGATTGCAATGACAACCTGCTGTAACCTCATTGAGAGTTACAGAATTGTGTTGTTTACATGATTCCATGATGTACACAAACAGGTCGGAGGGATATCCAAATATAAATGCCATATCTGTGATAAGGTCTTCTCCTGGTGTTACACTCTCACACTTCACCTCCGCAAGAAGCACGAGCTCAAATGGCCGTCTGGACATTCCCGCTTTCGGTAAGTCACAACAGCAATTAAAACTGAAACCACCATTTCTTTATCCACTCATCTTCTCATCCTTGGAGGGGGGGGAGGAGACATCAGATGCAATTTAAGTGATTAAAAGTTGAAATAATCCATATTTGATCCGAGTTTGTTCCACATGCTTTCTTCACAGTTACAGAAAAGACGTAGACGGCTTCCTAAAAGTGAACATGGTGCGGTTTGAGACTGTGGAAGTGACGAATGAGATCATGAAGAACATGGCCAAAAAGCCGCAGAGCCTTCGGAAAAGTCAGAGAACGAAGAGGGCTGCCGTCCCACCGGAGAGCAGCCGGAGCTCCCCCGCAGGGTCCTCCTCGCCCTCCTCCAGCTCCTCCTCCTCGTACGGCTCGGATCTCTCTGGAGCGGAGGACGTCTCGTCTCAGCCGAGCCCCCGAGGAAGCGACTCTCCGGTCTACTGCGTGATGAGCACCATCCCTCTCATCGAGGAGGAGCCTGGGGGGTCGTCGCAGGAGGACTGTGACGGCAGCGGGACGTCGGGGGCGGTGCAGGCCCTGACGGAGGTGGCGAGGGGCCTGGGCATGGACGTGGTGTGACCCCTGCCTGCTCCACTGCACCATGCGCTATTTGTTGCTGTGTGAGGGCCATCAGGGACCAGAACTGTTTTATACCCAAAGCTTTCGCGTGGTCTCAAGAGCTTTTAGTGTGGTTTTATTTACCTTTTAGGAGGGCCCATTTTCATTATTACCTACAATGCCTTGGCTTTGTGATGCTTCCTATCTAAGGGATGCCGGTTAATGTTTCTGACCAAGTTGACATGAATGAGAATAACTGGAAGCACTATGAAGTTAGTTCCTTATACATGTAATTCTTAACACACCTTGTTCCACAGTGTGCTCCATGCCCGACAGAGGCTTTCAGAAGACATTATTTTTTGATGTATTGTTTTAATGCTGCTTGAATTTATTGTTACAAATTTGAAATACATTTTTGATACTAAAGTAACATTTTCTTGTTGTTGTTTTTGTTCTTCCCCCCCCTGTATGAAAGCCAATAGGATTTAAGTCCTGTCTTTTTATCCAGTTCAATATGTCGTCCCCTCTATCTCCCCGTTTCCTCTCTTCTTGGCTTAACTTTGTAATGAAACGACAAAATAGCCCCAAAATGAGTTTGTCCATACTTTGGTTTATGACCAAATACCTAATGCCGTTCCCTTCAGCTTTACTTTGTGTTAAGTGCCAATTACTTTTAAACTAAGATGGTGATCCTGGTGAAAATGATACATGCTAACATCAGCATGATAGCATGTATTATTATATCATTGTAAACATTGTAGAACATACTAAATTAAGCTTAATGCACAAATCACAGAGACTCTATCAGCTGCATTTCCTTTTAGTTTGGCAGATTTGCAATTATCTTTTTTAAACTTCTTTCCTTCCAAACAAGATAATTGATCACCTGGCCAAAAAAATAAAACAACCACATGCATCCTAATATATCTTATAACTTAAAAACAACAACCTTTCAATCAAAGGGAAGCATTACAGTTAAGTATGACTATAAAGTCGCCAAAAGGCATTTAAGAAATCAATGTTTGTTAATAATATTTGTTGCTCAAATGAAGCTGTTTTAATGCAAAGAGTATATTTTTTTGATAAATGAATCAATAGATATCCACGTCCACAGTTTTTTCTACATCCTGGACACTGGAGGCCTGTTGAAATAATGTGAAGCAATGTGACAAGTGAACCTATCAGACAGGAAGTAATGGGTAATCTATCTCATGGGAATATCTACTTTCCTCTCAGGTAGGATGTTGTCAGTCAGCCAGGATGATGGAGATGACTGTTCATGTGACGTGAACTGAGGTAAAAAGATTGCTGTTGCATCAAAGCAAGAGGGAAATAAAGAGGCGGCGCATAGTAACCAAAAGTCTCTCTTTGCCTCATTGCAACAGGAGGTACCTTGATCGCTCTGCAGGTATTCAAAGAATAATCTTTTAGGAGATGTTGTCTAGAGTAGAGATCCATGATCTTGTGAACACCCCCAATTGGATCCCATGAAGCAGTTAGGTGGGGATGCATGTCAGATCCTGGATAAGTGACAAGTGTTCTAGTGACATGACATCTACTGCTGTTTGGATACAGGCCGGACAAAGCATGTGTGTTTATGTGTTGCTCTGGCATGGTGTGAGTTGTACTGAGCGGAGATGGATCAGACCTGTCATCTACAATTTCTTGCTTCACCCTCTTACATCGAATGGAGCTGACACCTTCGAGCTGCCTCTTCCTGCCATGTGATCTGCTGTGTTCAGGTTCAGGAGTTGGATTCAAATATTTGTCTCTTGGAGGTGAAGTGTCTGTTGTTTCAACTTGTTGGCTCCCGTGTTTCTCTTTTTCATCAAGTTCCTCTCTCCGGTTCAGGATTAGGGGCTGTTCCAGTTTCTCCCTTTTGTTAGTATGGCTGTAAGGCGCTGGTGATGATTGGAAATATTCAGCGGGATATCTTCTGTTGAAGAGGTTTGAATGTCCTGCTGTTTTTCCTGGCTCACTTCTGTCACTTGTGTTTCCAAATGAAGGATGCTTATAGGGAGAGTCTAAGAAAGGAGAAGCAGTTCAGTTTCAATAGTTTGACAAATATAATACAGTTGCAAACTGAACTCACCAATCTTTGGCTGAAAGCAGGAGGGCTGCTCTGATTCCTTGTCAGGTAAACTGGATGCAGGATACTCAGATGTCAGATCTTGGTGGAAACTGTTGGGTTTCTGCTGCATTTCCTGGTGGATACAGTTTTTAAAGCACAACATTGGTTTTGGAATTAGATAGGAAATAACTAATCACAACCACAGTCAAAAGAAAACATTTTAGTACAACAAAAAATAATGCACAATATTATGTTTACTATATGTATTGCTCATTTAAATTAAGTGTGTTATTATACCTTTCAACTGACGACTTAAAGCTTTTGGATCTATTATTATATTAAACAAAACACTTTTTCATACTATGGCTTATTTTTATTCAGACATAAAATCCCTAAATCAAGTTCCATTGACTTGAGTTTCAGCCACAAAATAAGGAGAATGTGTACAAATAACTTCTAATGTATCAGTTTATGTGAATACAATTTGATGCAATTACTTATTACCTTGATTTGCTTCTGGTAATATATCTTCCATGCAATCCTGACATGCAGGGCGCCACATCTCCCTCGTTTCTGAACAAATAAATGCAACAAACTGTCAGAGGTGTTAGACAAAATGTACCAAAGTAAGAAAGTAGCTTGACTTTTAGCTTGGTTGACATGTCAGTTGTTATCGGTGCATGTTGGACTCACTGTTGAACTGAAGGGTGTCTGCGCTGCTTTGTGAAAGGCAGTGACAGGAGCAAAAGAGCGCCTCGTCCTCGCTCTGGGGAGGTGCATGTTGAACTGTAGCAAGAGGTTAAAGACAACATCTTTAAATTATTTGTGCACACTTAGTGGCAATAAGCTAAAAATGGCATTCAAACATCAAATAACATTACAGAATAGTCCTCAGATGAACATCGGTACTTTTTGATTACCATCACTGCTAAGTAAAGTGACACATCTGCTTACATTATTGTCCTGCGATCCCATCTGAGCAGGTGTGGTGGTCAAGGAGTGGAGCATGATGGGATTGTAGGCATGCTGGGGAACATACTGATGCATGGGAAGATGTTGAAGAGCCAGTTAGTTTTGGAGCTTGAGGAACTTGAATGAGTGGGTTTGCTCCTGGCTGGTTGAACACCTAATGGTCACAAATTCAGACGGATCTCTTCCTTCCGATCAGGGATGAACCTTATAGTCGAGACACAGACGGCATGAAAAAGTGAACAATATTTTGCACACAACTATGCAAATCACATGCAAATGACATAATCTTAAATTAAATTAAATTGCATTACGAACAGTAATCCAATTTAGGAACCCAGTATGGCAATCCATTTAATTAATTAAGGATCCATCCTTTCCAAGAACACATGATTATAACCGCTGTGAGTGATCACTGTGAATGCAATTATTCTGTGTGAATAAGTAGAGATGGGAAGTAGTGGAGTACAAATACTTTGTTACTGTACTTAAGTAAATTGGTCTGGTATCAGTACTTTACTCCACTACCTATTTTTCTGACGACTTTTTACTTTTACTTCTTACATTTTTAACACAAATACCTGTACTTTCTACTTCTTACATTTTCAAAACAGGTTTGTTACTTTAATTTTAATCTGTGTTTGGTGGCCTGATCATTATTATTTAGAGTCATTGCTTGCCTGTTGATCATTTCCTGGTCTTCTCTAAAGAAGAGGGACCAATGAAAACGTTTTCATGTTGCCGTTGTTCAGCATCGAAACATTCATTAGCTAACAATGACATTATTGTTCTATTCATATAAAGGGAGGTCAGTTACTCTTTAAAACAGCTGGTAGTTATGGGTAATTTTTACTTAAGTACATTTCGAAGCCCATAGTTCTTTACTTTTACTTGAGTAAAGAAGTTTAGTCAGTACTTTTACCAGAGTATTTTTAAACACAAGTATCTGTACTTCTACTTGAGTAAAGGATGTGTGTACTTTTGCCATCTCTGAATATAAGTAGTGACAGTGAGGCCCTACTTTGAATTTACTGTGTACTGGGCAAGAACATTTCAGATAAAGTTGGTGCAGGTATCCTTCCTTCCTTATGAGGATCTCCTTTATCCTGCTGTTTGTGTCAGTGCCTGTTTAACCCCTTTAGGCCAAAGCAATCCAATAGCCTGATCCCTCCTTTCTCATAAAGACAAGATTAGCTGGAGGTTAGACATCCTATGTTCTCTAAATTTCGCCCATGTCAGCGTGCCAAAGAAATCTCTTAATCTGATAAAGGAACCGTTTCTCAGAAGCGCAAACTGAGTGCATGAGGCCTCAGAGTACTTTCCTCAAAGCACCCTACATTATACATCAGTCAAATCTTAATATTTACATAAAAAAAGTTCCAAAAGGATTTTAAAACCCATAGTTATATCTTAGTCTGCTGGTTTAAACAGACAACACGTTAAAGGACTCTAGAGGCTCTTTAATTGATTTGATTTTACAACCTATAGAACAAATGATTTAATAGAATACAGATTGAATAGATAATTTGGAAGATAAAATAACTATTGATTAGCCTATTAACTGTTGATTGAAGCACTAAACAGTTAGAACAACAGATGGATAACCTGTTAAAAAAAAGTCCCCCTTGCTTGAGAGATAATGTGTAAATCATTGTTTTAACCCTTGTGTTGTGTTCGAAAGCTGTTACCGTTCATGGTGTTCGCGGGTACATTTTGACCCATGATTTATTTCAGTCCAAAACACACACAAAAAATGACTACCATCCAATGTTTTAACTACATCATAAAAGACGTATTATGCATTCATAACCGTACAATCCTGTTGTAATTGTATTGTATGGCCCCAAAACACATTACACCACATATTGCACACGTGCATGTGTGTGTTCAGGTTCAAGTGTTAGTGTACATATTATTTGAGAAAGGTCGGGTTGCTGTGGGGGCGGGGAATGGGGGGCCAGGTGCATGTTGCGAAAAATTATTGTTACAGTGGATGAAGGGGTTGGGGGAGGGGTGTCTAAAGTCAAAGATGAATCTTGATTGGGCCAAATTTGACCTTGAGTCACCCACAACAATTCTGCTGGGTCTTCCCAGACCGGGTCACGGGAGACTCGAACACAACATAAGGGTTAAAGCTGTTATATTTAGAAAGAAACATAGCCTACCTTCTACACAAAATAATACATAATTTAATACCTGGCATCCATCTGACTGTTTGATGATGCAAACTCAATGGCAGACTCTGTAAATGTGTTTCTTACCTGATGAGGCACAGTAAAAGACGTCCTGATGTTTGAGGGTTATAGTCCAGTTAACAACATCCAGCCCCGTCAGCTTCTCTATCAACCAACAAAGTTAGAAGACATCAACCTTTTTATTTCAGCTACTAACAGGACAATGAACCCTGCTTGTCGTCTCTCAGCAGACCCAGAACACTGACATCAGTTCAGGAACACCTGTTGCTGTGAGCCAGTGTCAGCTGTCTGCTGCCCTTTAGTCAATTAGTCAGTGTTACTTACCAACACTAGGAAAGACCATTAACTACCCCTAATGGCTTAACCCAATCCCATTAGCTCCCTAAACCCTTCGGATTTATTTTAGAGGAATACAGTTTATGTGAGAGGAGAGGGTTTTTGAAAATAAGGTTAAATGATATAATAAATATATGTTTTTTTTTATTATGTAAGGTTTATTTGCAAACCTATAGAAATGTAAGGTATATTATCATTTATTTAAAAAGAATATAACTTGAATCACTCAGGAGTTCACCACAATGATAATAAATACAGCATCTTAAAGGAAGGATGAATAGATTTATTGCCCACAACTACACATGTTCCTTTTCCACATGGATAACACACAGACATATGCAGATAATATTGGTAAAAATACTAACATTTGAGGGTATAGATCAAATGGTGTTGTCTTTGTTCCAGTAATTCCATTACCATTTTAATGTTTTACTACTGAAATTAGTTAAACCTATCAACACCAAATAAGGCTTCACCGTTAGTGTTTCCTGATTGAATTATTCGAAACAGATCATTGAATTGAATTCTTCAATGTGCTATGTGTCTCAAGCTCGTCCTGAATTTGCCCCAGACAAACTGGGCTACCCTTCAATTGGATCCCATTAAGAAAAACCTAAGATGGTGATTGGATGAGGCTTTGGGATGACATGTTCTCCTTGATTAGCTAATTCCATTCTCACTAACCATCCAAATCTTGTTTAGCATGGGGTTACCTCTAATGCTATGTTGAGGAACAACACTCACCAGGCCCCAAACCATTAACCTTTATGACCCCAATACACTGGTGTGCCAAAACTATTGGACAACTTAGAGCTCAATAGTGTATTCTCATCTTGTTCACACACTGCTCTTAAAATATTGTTCTAGCTACTTTGTTTTTCTTAAAGTTAGCAAAAGTAGACCGTATCATTATTGGCTTTGCATAAATATAATGATGACTTTGTACCTTAAGCACTTCCACATAAAGAGATTTTGAAACCAAATGAAGGGTTTGCCAATATATTTATCTGAAGGTTGGTGCATTAATACAGAGGTTTCTATATTGGGTTATATAATCAAAACCAAAATAAATAATTTCAATATAATTTAGTATAATCCAGAATGTAGAATGCATTACATTTCACGTAACTCTATACTAAATGGTTTGGTAAACTGACATTAAAGAGTTTAAAGGTCTGTTATATTTAACTACAATAGGGGTCAGTGTTTAGCAGAGGGAAAACAAGCAGTCTTCTCTCAGCAGCTGTGAGCAGGAGGCCCTGAGTGAATGTGACATTACTGTAAGCTTTAGTTTCGTTTTGACAGTAATATCTGAAGCAAGATTAGACATGTTCAGCTTCCCTCCCCTGAAGATAATGACACTGCCCCACATATATTGTATGTGGGTGTGTTTTTGCTTCTGTTAGCAGCAACTGAGAGGAAAAAGCCCTCAGGGTTGTTTTTTTTACTAGGGAATTCCACCAATTAATGATTGATTATATATTAGAAATGTACACCAGAGGGAAATAATTGTTTGATTGTCACAATGTAACGAGGAGGTAAAAACCCTGGTAAAATATGGATAATTTATTTAAATAAAACCATTCCACCCATTTGGATTAGGACAAGAACTCTCCTGCTTTAAGGTAAGATTTCACAACTGCCACACTCACACTTAGGTCGATTAGTAGGTCTGACTAATAGTCAGATGACTTGCCGACCTCAACAGTATATCTAAGTCAAAGTGTCTTGCTTAGTTTACTAGGTAGAACTTGAGTGCATTGCTATCCAACTAGAGAAGTCTTTTAAGGGTGGAGAAATGTTTATCTACCAGAATCTGACCAAAAAACAAGTAAACAAGAAGTTTAAGGTAGACGCACTTTATTCCTAAAACAGAAGCTGCACCATCAGTAGCGGCACACAATTATATGTACACATATACACACACAATTACCTAAATCTGTTATATAAAATATATAATCTGACAATGTACCTTTTAATTCCTCTTCAGAGCTCATTGAGTTACTGTGCGAGAGACTCTGGAGCCAAAGCGGACAGAGAGGTAAGTCTCATCCACTCATTGGGTGGGACACAAATGCCCAGGCCAGCTTTTACTTCATTTTTACAGCATGGCAATAAAAAGGTCTGTACCCTTTGAAAAAATAATATTCTAAAAGCAATCTACAGCAAATTCACTTGAACAGGTTTTTCCGTGTTGTAATTGAGAAAATTACACTTTTTAAACCAATTCCTTTACAGTGAGATGTACACCCCCTCTAGGATTTGTAATATATAAAAGATATTAAGCATTAAAAAATCCACATTTAAAAACTTACAATAAATAATATATGCAGGCATTTCATTAAGATAAAATTTCATAGATTGCAATCTACAGTCATAAAAAGACAATTTATTCTCGTTTATGAAACGTCCCTTGATCTTCCAAAATGCTAAAATGGATTCTTGGCATCTGATTGATTGATTGGAAACTTGTAGACAGTCAGTGTTGTGTGAGAAACACCGGGGGAGGAGGAGGAGGAGGGATGCTTCCCCCCCACTCGCCCTGATGGAGTGTAAGGTCCATTGAGTGTCCGGGATCATTCAAAGCAGGAAATCCAATCAAATCTCAGCACTTTGATCCCGATAGAGTTCAGAGCATGTTCATGATAAAGTTGTACATCTGTGTGAGCACCACAAAGTGAACGGGCAGACAGGAGCGTCGGTCCTGGGTCGCAGGGTCGCACGTCAGCCAGGAGAGGGCGTTGTACTGCTCTAGAACAAATCTATGATGTAGGAGGCAGAAACAGCTGTGTTAGTTCATGTGTCACATTGTTCCTTTTATTTTAACATGCCGCTATTAAACTGGAGCAGCTTACCTGAGCACATCAGAGGTGTGGTTGGAGTCGAGGGGGTGGGAGTGTTTACTGTGCAGGAGCTCGTCTGATTGGACAGAAGACACGTGCAGGTGCAGAGAGGCCTGGGGAAATGAAGGATAAAGATGCAAATTACAGATAGCCCCACATTAGGACGTGTACACACCGGCCGTTACATTGGGTTTTTTTATTCAATAGGAAAGACATTTTTTTTTAGACTTCTGTCTTTTACTCCTGGTTAGTCTACTGAATTTTGGTGTTAAAATATGAAATAAACACTTCATTACAAAATCATTCACTGTGACCCATGTTCGCCTCTTACAGCTCTTTCCACAAACAATTTCTGTAAAATAATCTGCACTGTAAGATACTGGAGGATATGAGATATGAAAAGATAGGACCATGCTCTAAACACAATGTACAGAAGAGGAACATAACGTGGAAGGTAACAAACAGTTTGTAAGTGGACACTATGGACCCTTGTGCTAGATAAGTATCATTTTCATAAATTAAAACCTCAACTAACCAAATTAGCATTCTAAGCAAATTGTCTCCCACGCTACAGGCATCGGTTTGTGTTCCTTTTCTCACAATTCTGCTGCTATAGCGCAGAAGGTTTGCCCTTTGGGAATTGGGTTTTATATTATAAATAAAGTTGTGAAGGGCACTGTGGGATAGCAGAGTTGGTTGTTTCTTTCAAGTTGCTTTATAAACCGTACCCACTAACTCCAGTCTGCAGCAAATCACAGCTGATTACCGCCCCCTGCTGACATAACAAAGGCCTTACATAACTGGGAAGCCAGTTCTCTGTTTGGTCCTTAAAGTTCAAATAATATTTTCCTTTACACTGATCACATGGCTTAATCCAATGGATAGATAGTTCATTATAGCAACAGAGAATTAGCTTTTCTGACAGACACTCCAGATTTAAGTTATGTAATGAAGCGTTTCATAGTCCCTGGTTGGGCCAAAAATACCAGCAATTATCTTGTCCCAACTTGTTAAGAGAAATATGTTTTGTTCAGGACACATTTGCCTCAAGCGAAGTGTACTCGGCACTGACATGTTATCTAACAATGTGTCAAGGAATCAGTCTGTGGGTTTGGTTAGATGCTTAACACACCTCAAGAACCATTCCTCCCATACGTTTCCCATTAGTTGTAGCCCTAACATTTGACAAAAGTACAGTGTAACTGTACCTTGAGGAAGAGAGGGCACTGGTTCTGGGCTTGAGGGCAGGCAGACCAGAACCAGTCAGGCAGTGGTCCAGTTTTGGCTGTGGAGACGAAGTAGCCCAGCGCCATGGGCTGCTGCAGGATGTTCAGAGCCTCCTCATGGGACTCCATACGGTCAGCACTCTGGCCCTGCGAGGAAACATTGTTGAAATGAATTAACAGAGAAAGAGTTGATTTATACAGCACAATTGTTTCTTTGCAGCTACTGCCTCCATTTACTGTATATATTTAAATGACGTTAATGGCACCACGTATTAATGGACTAGCTAACAAATCTTGAAACTTTGTGACTCAGTGAGGTTAAGATATAGTGAGCTCAAGGCAGTAATAGTTTTCCTTTATCTGAGTGCAGTTGCGTCATTTTTCAAACGCAAGCACGCATTTGAGCGTGTCATTATCTACACGTGTGATATCCTATCTCTTTCAAGCTTCAGTCTTCATCTATTGGCAACATTTGATACATTTTTGTGTCAGTCTGCTCCGCCTGAAGCTCACTGGCTGGAATACATATGTTTAAGTTGCTTCATTTCACTAGATGATCGACGAATAAAGACAACATGACATTTTGACGTGAATTTGTAAACACTGAGTCTCTTCATCTTGCAGGTCATCGTCTGTAATAGACTTTAAATGGACTTCTGTTTCATTGGATTATAAATGATTGACATACCTTTGTTCCGTCTCCCCCCTGGTGGTAGTGGGAGCCGGGGGAGTGAACAGGGGAGGTTGTGGGGGAGTTGGGCAAAATGTTGATGAGGTCTGGATCCACCATGTCGTTGTCAAACAGGTCGAAGAGGCCCATGCCGTCAGATCCATCTGTGGAGAGAGAAACATGCAGAGGGTTAGGCTTCTGTCTGTCCTATTCATGGCTCAATAACTCTTGATAATGAACAAAAGGATGCAGAACGTACCGGGGTTTATGGGGTTAAAGTTGATGTCGATGGGCTCTGCCGTGTTAGTGTTGACCTGCACCATGGCTGAGGTGGGGAACACTAGGATGTGTGTGCACGATGTGTCCTGAGGAGTGTTCAGCTGCGATGTCTGCATGTTGAGCGTGGTGCTGCGACCGAACACTGAACCTGTCGACACAGAATCTACAGACACGAGGCAGAAAATCAGAGTCAGAGCCAAAAACTCCCCTCCTTCACAAAGTCTAAACCACCATGTTACTATTCCCTTTTACCTGGCATGATGACAAAGGATCCCTGGGGCTCCATTGCAACTAGACAGACGCTAAGGATGCTGGGAGTGTCAGCAGCAGAGATGCCACACAACTTGCACGTCTCCTTGAGGCGTTTACTGAGAGACTGCAAGTTCCTCCTGCTCAGCAGAATACTCCAGTCTGGATCAGGGAGGAGAGAGGAGCTCATTAGTGGGTGTTCATGTGAGTAAATAAGCTACATGTTCTGCAAACACTGCAGGTGTGTGTGTGTGTGTGTGTGTGTGTGTGTGTGTGTGTGTGTGTGTGTGTGTGTGTGTGTGTGTGTGTGTGTGTGTGTGTACCTCTCAGCTCCCCGTGGCCCATTCTACCAAGCCGTCCGATGACCACCCTCCATGGCAGCGATGTCACCTGCACCAGGCCGAGACACCACTCCCACAGTTTCTGCAAACCCACCCGCCTGACGGAGCCCTTTTTCCTGCGCGCCCTGAGAGAGACACAACACATGTTTTGTTTTTTTAAATACAGACACAATCTTACAGTAATTAAGACAGCAATGAACAGTGTGCGCATACCTATTGGGTACATCGATGCTAATAATGCAGGTCTCCAGCAGTTCTCCGTGCTGGTCGGTGCAGGAGGCCAGCAGCCAGCGCTGGTCGTGGGAAAGGCAGTAGCCGACAAACAGGACGTTGTACTTCTGGGAAGCCTCGCCAAACGTCTCCCCGAGCTCAGTCTGCTTGTCTTTTATAGGAGCCAAAATGAAGGGCGGCGTGTACAGGCGCAGACATTCGGGCCTCTGCACAGGAGAAACACGTGATGGTTTAAAAGATTAGAGAGGGAGAGACTTTAACAAAAGACAGAAACTGTTCTGGCTGACTCCCTTTACCAGAAGCCACACAGGTTTCATATAAACAGCCTATATAGGGGGCGTTTACCTCTGGATCCTTTAGTGCCATGTCGATGGCAAGGCCGGGGCCAAAGCCCGTCAGAGCCTTGAAGTTGGTCGAGTTGGGCAGAGGCCGCCGACACTGAGTGAACACAGAGAAGGCCAGCGACTTGAGGTGTTGGCTGTAGAGGTGGCGCTCCCCGCTGCGCACCGGCTGCAGCAGGTACTGGCAGGGAACAATCTGACAGGGAACAAACGACAGTGACACTTTAGTCTTTCTGTAGGTAAACATCAATGGGTTCATCTGCCTACTTCTTAAGTTTACTTTCCCCTCCCTATTTTAGGGGCCCCTATAGAAACTTTGAATATAAAAAAACAAATGTCTGTACAGCCCTATACAGCCTTTTCCACATAGAGTACAAGCGATAACAATTTGAATCATATTTCATTAATGACTTAATCATCCTTTACATAAAGAACATAACCAATAGCAGCACATGTACCACCATATTGGGAATGTTAGAATGGGCTTACTGGCTTATCAACAATTAGTTAAAATGTAAATGGAGTTACGAAATAGTATGCATGTGTGCATCTTTTGACAATTATGGTCAAATTAAGGAAAATATTTAAAGCTGTATTTTTTTTCTTTTACTTAATATTAAAAAAGGTGAAATACAGTGCCAAACTTAAAGTAGAAGGATATTAAAACTGCTCTTAATTACCACTGCTTTAGACTAACGCCTAACCATTAGCAAATTCACACTTCTCGTCTTTCAAAATCCCCCCTGCCAGTTCATGCAGTCTTGTGTCACTACTTTGCAGGTGTGGCAGTTAGCGCCTCAATTAGTGTCTGCTAATGAGTCCCCTCCTCCTGCTCAGCTCCCTCTGTGCCTGCCCGTAACCTGCTCTGTTGTGACTAATCCGTCATAAGAGGAGAAGATCATTTAAAACTAAGGAAGACACCCATCACAGCACATGAGCAGAGTCCTGTAACTGTGTGATCTGTACATGTTAGGGATGTGCATCTCCATCACTGAGGCCGATGCCATGCGCATCTCGATACGTTGCCACGATACGATACATTTGAAACACCAGGCGATGCGATACGATTCGATTCACCCCTGTTGCGATACAGTTCGATACGATTTGATTCAACATTATGCGATTCGGGCAATATAATAAATAATGATACTTCAATATGGTGCGACAGAGGATTTTTGTTTTATTCCTCAGATGCAGCAAATCATAAATTAACAAAAAAGTGCTTTACATATTTGGTTCTGCGCATCCCATCATGTTGTTTATTTTTTTACCTTTAAAAGCTCTCCAGAGTACAGTACAATTGTATAACACCTCACAGTTAAACAATTTAAGGATGCATTGCCCATGATTAACAATGTGCAAATAACAACTACCGTAATTTTCGGACTATAAGGCGCACCTGAATATAAGCCGCAGCAGCTAAATTGAATGATGTGTACATATATAAGCCGCACTGGACTATAGTTCACGTCGGTTGTCTGCCTCCTCAGGGTGCGACAAGATGGGCGGACGGTATCCACCATATAGCAGCTGGGAGTCGAGGCTTCTACGCTGGATTGCAGGTGAGTGCCGGATGTGGGACCTACGACGCGACGCTTGTCTCTACGAGGTCAGGCGGAACGCGTAGTCTTTCGCGCAGAGTCCGTTCCATGGTCTGAAATAACGAAGTATATCTTTTGGTGTGGGAGACAGAGAACACCAATCGGGATCTACCCCATCTGTAGTCGTCCGTCGACATATCCGTACGTGATGGTCATGATTAAAGCATGAATTCGCGGGAAAAAAGGGGTAAAAAGTTGGACGCGAATATTATTGCACGCGGGTTAGATCCTAAAAGTCTAATGGTCAGTGGTGGAAATTTGAGAACCCAGAGATACCCGCCAGGCGCGGGGGTTGGAAATTCGCCCCCGAGGGCCGTCCCTTTCACCTCCGCCTTTTCTCACTCTGTCAACGCGCCATTTTCCTTGCCTCACCATGCTCTCTGTCATGCTTCGGTTCTGTCGTCTGTCTGTAATGCTCGCTCGCTCTGGTAAACAGGGGCCATGGTGAACACTTTTTTTGGGTGACGACATCTAGTGACGCCATGCCACGCCGAACCCCCTCCGTGACAATTCAACCCTTTCAACTTTCAACAGACAGACTTTGCCGATACCTAGTCATGCAACATGTGTCTGTAAAGCATCGAGAATACGTTGATTTTTACCCATTGTGACCTTATGATACGTTAACGTTGAACAACACTTTACTTATTTTCCTCGAAGGAGTTTGTCGGTAGGAAAGGCTTGTTAGGGGGAGAACGTGCTTGGGGAATTGTATAACCATTAATTTGTAATTTTNCATGGTTGCCCTTCTGTTTATTCTCCGCGGTGGACGGCGTGTTCTCCTGCTGTATATCTCTCAGGTAGTCCACCAGCAGATGAAAAACACACACCTCTCCGCCTCTTCCAAGGAACGAGGGGAACGAGGGGAACGCGCGGCAGAGTTTCCGTTAAAAAAATGTTCCGCCGGTCAACATGTCCTTTAAAAGTTTAAATCTTCCATACAAAATTAGAAAATTGCCAGTCAGAGGTCTTCTTTGTTATTTATTGAGCTTTAAAACAAATTGATAACGACTCTGTTCTCTGTATAATAATATAATAATATTTAATAAACGGTGCCTGCCTCTCTTTTCCTCCCCCTCTTCTGACAGCCCAGCAGCAGCAGGAGACGTGGGGAGAGGGAGGCGGGGCTATTTCATCGTTATCAGAAAATGATCATATAGGGCTTACACACGGAGCCTTTGGACCCCCCAGAGCGTTGCGTATGCTGGTCTACCCAGCTTGGGACCTGGGACCCGTTATCTTTACCGTAGTCGTTTAGTGCCCCCCCCCCCCTTTTTAAGACCCCGCGGACACCCTGATGTTGTATATTGCAGAGGATGTAGCGATCAGTACAAATGTGCTGTGTATAAAAACCACCTGATGCAGATCCCAAACGTTTTAGTAGCCAGTTAAATGAAACAAAATAAAAAATGTTTAAATTGTAAAGTAACTTTGGAAATGTATTCAACCGGAAGGTGTTAATAAAAGCAAGGCAGGTAAAATAACCAAATTAAACAGACAGTTTAGAATATTATATAAGTGGTAAAAAGGTTGTTTAAAAAGCCAATTTGGTGTGCGATTTAATTAAAATATCAAGTGAAGCCAAGAGAACATAAACAATAACAAGAGCACCCAGATAAATGGAAACAACTAAGGATGAGCCAGAATTCGGCATTATAAGACATCTTTTCCAAATTGTCCTTAGTTTTGATGAAGGTCATCGATTGTATCCCTTGTCTGCTTACTGATTCAATGCACAGCCAGGGGCCACTGACAGCTTTGTGAAATAATCTGTCTATAACATGAAATCCTGTATTTATATACATGAACCTCTCTCAAACTGGCACATACTAAAGCAGGGTATATGCAGGAATCCTGAGGTCAAATTTAATACCTTTTAAGACCTTTTTTAAGACCCTTTCCATACATTTTAAGACCTCATCGCAACTTTGAGTTCTAACCGGTTACATTGGCAACACACTTTACCTCACATTTACTATATTGATTGTAAGATAGCACAACTAAACAGAGTGCAGACAGACCACTGAAGCCTCCTTTCCACATGAACTTCAACCTCTCTGTGAAGGTCAGGTTTAATGCAGTATGCTGCTTTGTTGCTTCTGTACTCTGTGCTCTTTCATTCCAGTAAAACTCCTCAGAAACCATTAGAAACCAGTATTTGACCAATAAACAAAACAATTGACAAAACTTTGAACTATGAAATATATTAAACTTTTGTGAGCTTCAGCGGGGTAATGCCATATAGGAGCTCCCTCACAAATACCCAGGGGTTAAATTGGGCTGGGGCTGTCCGGGGCTAAGCCCCGGCACATAGGACGATGCTCTGACGTCATCACCCTCACACATTTGTCATATGTTTACAAAAAACGATATATATGTTAAGACTTTTCTCGTTCTTAATATAGACTAATGGCGTCGACGACGGAGAGAACAACCTGAGACAACCCCCCCGTCGCCCCCGCGCGCCGCCGCCGCCTTCTCCGACGTCACCTCTCCACCCACCAAAAAGTAGACGACCACCGATTGTCTCTATATTGTCGTCCTCTTGGCCAGAGCGCCTCTTATTTTGTCTTCCGTTGGTACCCGTTGGTAGCGGAGGCCCCAGAAGAAGCGGACGAAAACCACATAAGACACCGCCCGTCGACTTTCTGCGGTGAATTTCCGCCCCGCCCCTCCCCCGGGCCGGTCGTCGCGGTGAATTTCGGACCTATAACAAATGATGTCGCAAGTCGCAGACCACACTTGCCTGTGCAATTAACTTGTTAACGCCACTGCTCTAAAAACGGCAAACGCAACGCAAAATGGCATACAGCAAGGAGCACGCCGGGCGCCCAGATCGGGTTCTGATATAGCAGTGTCTCTCGACGATAATTCATTTCAGTTGTGTATAGCTGGGAATCAT